TAAAATATAATAAACAATAATTAAATTATGAAAATTACATAAATGTGTAAATTTATTGTGCTGAATTTATAAACTCATTAAGCTTTTATATATAATTTTATGTATGAACAAAATAGGAAATCACTAACGAAAATTAATTAATAAAGATTGAAGTTATAAAATTTAGATTTGACTTTCGCGATTAATAACTTTTCTTTATTAGTATCATTATAAATCTCCATTGGTGCCTGTGATAATGCTATAAGAAGTAGAACTCTGAAGTAGTATTTTTCTTTCACTTTTAGCTTTTACTAGTAGTATTTATTAGTATTATTTTCTTATTAATTAGTAGTAGTAGTAGTAGTAGTAAAAATTTGATGCATAAATATCAGTCTATTTTATTGTTTATTGTGGCATATTTGAGTGCCCTAGTCCACGAGATAGTGGGAGACAAACGATTCTTATGAGATTAAATTGCAAAGGAAAAGAAAGGGATACAAAAGTCATGATAGTTTTGTCAATTCAAGCAGCTAAATGGGATAAGCAGTGAGTGAACAAATCAACCAAAAAACCACATCGCATCACATAAGCGAATAAAGACGGATTTATTTTAATTTAATTTAAAGTATATTGTGGTTTGAACTTATATTATTTATAAATGAAAACATTTTAACTTACTAGGATATAAATTTATTTTAGAAGAATTTCCGCTATCAATTATAATTAATACCAAACAATCTCTCCTGCGCATGGTTAAAAAAAATTGCGCCAATCGTAATCTTTAAAATTATTTTCAAAATAAAATTTAAGTTTAAAATTCATAAATTTTCTTAAGTTGAAATTATTATAAATTAAAAAAATACTATAATAACAGTTAAATGCGCCAATTTTTAAGCAACGCAGGGAAAATGCGTGTTCGATAGAACCTAAGCTGACATGTTCAAAACAAAAAACAAAAAAAGATAACGAATATAATAAGTATGGAAACGGTAGAGAATTTCGCCAAGTGGTTTAGAAGGTGGCTTTAAAAAAATGAATAAGCCTTTTTTATTTTTTTCTTAGTCTACGTTGCAGAATTAAAAGGGAACTGATGAGAACCACATTGAAGACTAACTCTTCTACTAAGTGATTGCAAGTTACACATGAATTAATGAAGAACCCAAAAAGCTAAATGCAAACATCTCTTTAGGAAAAACAAAGTCTTAAATGTTATAGCCTTATAGGAACGTATAACCCAGTATTAAGCTTTATTCAAAATTTTATAGGTGCATGTTTCACTTCTTGAACCGAACTTACACAAAGCTGTTTTGTTCTGGTGATACCATTCCCTAACAAAAACATAACATGCATATTAGTTTGGGTTTAATCACAATCCTCTATTTAAAGCTTAGGCAATTGAGCTATAAAAAATAATATACATATTCTATTTTCATTGAAGAATAACATCACAAGCACTTCAAAAAAAGAATTATTAACTTATTTGTCCTTATTTTTTAGCATCTCACCCTTCTTTTTTAAGTTCTCACGTTTATCAATAATTAATATTAGCATCACTTTTATTCCAAACTAAGTTGACAGTCTATCAACCCATATAAAAATAAGAATAAATTAAGAAAATAAATAAAAATTGTCAGTTATACAAAAAATACAACTTTTATAATACATATTTTACTTAGCATTCATTGTATAAACCTATAAAGAGCCAGTTGCAGCATGCCATTGCATATGGCAGTATGATACGATCTGGCCCAAGATCAGGTATGTATAAGAAGTATTAAAATAATGTGAGCCCAGCCTTTGCTGACTCAGCAATCAGTTTCAACAGAATGGCGTGGGAAGGGAGGTTGAGATGGTTAAATAGCAAGGAAGGAGAGGAGTGAGGGTATCTGGATTCTTTGGGAATTGCTTGGGCCCTTTTTGGGATTGGGAGAGAGTGGAACCTCTGATATGTGTTCCACACTATCTTACATTTTCTGCATTGTGATTTCCTTTAGAGTCATTGTAATTTCTGACTTCCGGCAAGTATTTCTGTTATTAAGTCTCTGTTTGTAATCAATTGCTATTAAATATACGAAGGTTGAATATTCAGATCTTAGTTCCTGTGTTAATTCCCTTTTAGCTCTGTTAACTAGTGATTGGTCTGTATCAATTGGTATCAAAGCTCCGATCTAGGAGCTCTGTGGGCATGGTAGCGACAAGAAGCATGGAAACCAGAATGAAGGTTGTGGAAGAAAGGCTGTGCAGGAACAATGCTCGTCACGACGAGGTGTGTCGAAGGCTAGAAGCTAACGAGGTGAAGGTGGTTGAGATCATCAGAAGGTTGGATGAGATGGCTGGGAGAAGAAGAAATCTAATGAGAAGGGAAGTTCCCAGGTTCTATGGAGACAGAGAAGATGATGAAGCTTGGGGGTGGTTGATCTATTTGCAACAATTTTTCCGGATAGAAAGAATCAATGAAGATGAGAAGTTGAAGGAAGCTGTGAGAGGTCTTAGAGAGAAGTGTTTTCAGCTGGTATCAAGGTTGGAAATGGTACAATCCTAATCCAAGCTGGAGTGACTTTGAGAAGGCATTAATAGAAAAATATCTACCAGAAATTATTTTGGTAGATGATGCAGATTCAGAATGTCAAAAATCAAAATCTCAATCAAAGCAAAAATCTGTGTGGGATGAGACGGAGACCATGCACAAAGGAACGAGCATAGAACAGAATAAGGCTGATGGCATAAACACAGTAAAAGGGAAGAAGGAGGAGATCATGGAAGAAGTAGAGGAGAAGGAGATAATAAAAAATTCAAAGGAGAAACAAACTGTGGTTGTAAATCTGCCCACATATGAGAAAAAATTGCAGCAAAATCCCAAGGAAAGAGAGGAGAAAATCAACATAATATTTGAGGGAGAAGGATCACCAACACCACTGCTAGAAGAGCCACTTGCAGCTATGGAGCCATTGACGCATGAGTTTAATAAAATTTCAAACAGCATCAACCATGTGAGAGAATATTGCAAGAGAAGGTGTTGCATCTTCCACCTGCGTTGATGGTCGACCCACCCCCGCCGCTAGAGCTACAAGAATCGGATCTGAGAAGAGGTGTGTGGCGAAGAGAAACGAAGCTAGAAGAAGAAGACGAAGCTAACGGGTGGAACGTGACAGAGAAAAAAAATGAGGCTAGGTCAAAGTTGGAGTTGGATCAGCTTTAAGATCCGGCCCAAATGATGGTGCTGAAATTTACAGATCAGCCCCATGATGTTGTACCATTTTTTGTTTTGTTAAAGGAATGGGCTTGTGAGCCCATAAATCAATTTGAATTAAGTGAGCCCACTAGGTTAATTTGGGATCCGTTGACACATTATTTCACCCAACCACACACCCTAATCACCTTGATTAGCGCTGAGGACTGCCCCCAAAAACAGAACGGAGCACAACAGAATGTCCAAGCCAAATGCGATGTTGCTGCCATCTCCAATCAAACGCATAAATCAAGGTTTGGCTCGAAAGACAAAATTTCTGAATTAAATCAGAAATTGAGGAATGTGAAGATCTTCGTTGAGTCATGGAACAAGGAGAACGAAGAAAAGGTGCAAAAGAGGAAGGAAGAAAAGATTTCCAAGGCTGAAAAAGAGCAAACAAAATTGAGGGGATCCACTCGGTGGGAAGCTCAAGAGCAGTGGGATCCCGGTGGAAATTACCATATTTTTTGCATATGTGGGGTCCTATAATTCAAACAGTGGGATCCAGGAGAAGGATTTTTATGGGCTGTACCTGTCGACGCAATAGGTTTTGTTGACGCATATTGGAGAGATGTCCTTAAGAAGGCAATTACAGTTCCAGACTTTCAATTGAAGAAGTTTTTCTTAAGTTCATATGCCCCTGTTCAGGTAACATTTCAGACAAATATACCTTTTGATATTAAAAAAGGAGTTATGATTAATTTTGAGAAAAAGCTTCATAAGGAACTTATCGATGTGACATTTCTCAGCCATGGCATAGATTATGATGGAATTTGTCATATTGTACAAAGATTATGTAGCTCTTATACTCTTCAACAAGTCAATACTGATATAATTGGGCAGATTGTCAAAAAGATTAACAATTCTCTTCAAGCTGGCAATGTTTGCAATAGCGCAAGAAACAACTACGCAAGTATCGAAGAGAACCGTACAAAGGTATTAATTGCTGCTAAGTTGTATGCTCAAACAAAACTCCTGGATGTAGGGGCTTCTAAACGTTGGGATCCAGGTGGAAATTATTATGTGGGTGAATCGTTACAATTCAAGCAATGGGACCCCAGAATAAAGTTCTCAAGAGCTGCTCTGCACCTTGAGGACAAGGTGCTTAAAAAGGGGGAAGTATTTATACGATCTGGCCCAAGATCAGGTATGTATAGGAAGTATTAAAATAATGTGGGCCCAACCTTTGCTAACTCAGCAATCAGTTTCAACAGAATGGCGTGGGAAGGGAGGTTGAGATGGTTAAATAGCAAGGAAGGAGAAGAGTGAGGGTATCTGGAATCTTTGGGAATTGCTTGGGCCCATTTTGGGATTGGGAGAGAGTGGAACCTCCCATATGTGTTCCACACTATCTTACATTTTCTGCATTGTGATTTCCTTTAGAGTCATTGTAATTTCTGATTTCCTGCAAGTATTTCTGTTATTAAGTCTCTGTTTGTAATCAATTGCTATTAAATATACGAAGGTTGAATATTCAGATCTCAGTTCCTGTGTTAATTCCCTTTTAGCTCTGTTAATTAGTGGTTGGTCTGTATCACAGTAACTCAATATTAAATAGCAAGGCAAGTTAATGAAAAGATGTTTACAAGACACGTAACATAATCCTTTCTTCTATTTCCCAAAGAAACATATATACGCAAAATAATTAAATACACTCACGCAACAATCACAATTTTTACAGTGTGCAAAAAATCACCAAACTCGCACAGGCAAGTTTCACAGCTTAGATAATAGGAAAAATAATAGAAGATACCAATAGGTACCAGACAAACATCATTCTTAAAATGTCCATGATTTGGAAAGATAATACATCAGTATATGCAGTTATCCAATAAGCTCTCAAAACTGAACAAGAAAGTTATTTTTCAAAGAATACAGAAATATGATATTCAATTTCTAGTCCTATCTCAGTATCAGAGTATTGTACAATGAGGAATTTTTATGGTAAACAAGGTATACTACTTCTCTACCTTGTTTAAAATGGGTAAGAGCGGTGTAAACAATTAAATGAATTGAAATCAAAATTAATGTGGAAAGAGATGAGGTTGGGGAAAATGCAGAACAAGTGTCGATCCTATCCCTTCTAAGACATTTTATCATCATTCTAGCAAGACACTGTAGTTGAAATAGGCAAGCCATAAAGGTGAGGGAAAGTGGGGGAGGCTAGAGAAAAAAGAGAGAATTCTTCTCTGTACTAAGGAACAATTATCAGGACTATTCATTTAACTTACAGTTCTGAAGATAGGGATGATTGTACTTCACATATTTGGTCCAGTAAGACCGATACTTTGTCATGGCAATCTCTAACCATGGCTTCATATTTCCATTGTAATGTACAACTGCTGCATTCTCAATATCTGATCGATCTACACTTGGATTATAACCCAAACCAAGAACATGCCACGATTTATTTAGCGGATGTGTGAGCCCATAGAATGTCATTAGCCCTGGAGGTAATGTCCCCAGCTTCCAGAGCACCCTGTCTTCATTCTAGAATCAGACAGAATAAAAACAATGGTCAGTGAAAGATATTTTGTACTCATCTGTTTGTGTGATAATAGACACATGATGTAAACCAATGCTATATTAAACTGCTCACCATATTCTGCCACTTGTGATATATGCCAGTAATATCCTTCTTTTTCCACTCCTTCAAATCAAACATGTTCATCCCGTAAGCCCAACCGCAAGCATTTGGATCAAAATTTCTTGCAATATGCGGATTTGAAAAGTTAAGATACTTGTCAAATCGGTGAAAGCTCTCACCGCATGTTTCAACTGCACCATTTACTTTCCCTTGAAGATTCACAGCCCATAATCCAGTCAAATCCTTCTGAACAACAATGTCATCATCGAGGAAAAGAATTTTATCCAATTTTGGATAAACTTGTGGAAGATAGAATCTCAGATGGTTGAGCATCGAGAGATATTTTGGATTTCTGTACTTCAGATTGGAAGCACTAGAAGAAAGAGTGGTTGGATGGCCTGCCTTGAAATAATACTCTTTCATTGTTGCGGATTCAAGCTGCCGCAAGACTGGGCAGTAGGATGAATTCAACCACTTAAAATCATCAACATTTTCAACATGGATTGTAGCCTTTCCAGGAGGGTTCAAAAGAAACCACATGTTCATGGCTCCAAAATTTAGTTTATCAGAAACAAGGTGAAAAACATGCTTCGAAGGATCCTGCAATGTTAAAGACAGTGAAGGCTGGGTTTAATAATACAATTTATCAAATCATAGATCTACTGCATATGCATGATATACAGGTCCTATGGTCAAGCATAAATTATTTGCCATCTGCTATAAATGGAAATAATGCACATGAAACATGGGCACAAACACTGGTAGGTTAAAAGGTATTCTGACTCACCTTTGCATTCATAATAGTTGCGTTGACAACAACAGATGCAGCCAAGACATTGTCTGAAAACAGTGCATAATGATAAAGACTGGGATTCTCCAAGTTCTCACTCCTAGGAAACTTTCTCTTTTCAGGAGGAAGGAGGTAGTAATCTATAGTAAGGCGCAAAGATAAGCAATGAATTCCATTTGGAATGGTCTTGGCAGCCAACTGATTCAGGAATGTGCTCTGTTTCTTCAAGCTCCTAACTTGCTCATCAGCCGTCTGTAGCATTGCTCTCAGTTTTCCAGTGACCAGCTTGCAGTCATATAATTGCTCTCTCGCTTTTGACAGAACTTGGCCCATAGCCTTTATTTTTTCATGTGCACTAGAGATAATTAGACACTTAATTAGTTAAGTCAGCAAATTCAGACAAAGGCATACAAATGCAGATAATATACACTTCAAAGAAAATTATGCATTGCTGCCTACCTGTGATGTAGATCTGCATCATAAATTGAATCACCTAAAGCACGTTGACTCTCTTTGAGCCGAGATTGCAGTTCTTGGTACAGTTCAAGCTTGTTCTTCATTTTCGCAATACTCAAATATACCCTAGCCATAATGATCTGGTCCCGCATCAACCGAACAGTAGAATCAGCATTTTCATTGTCAATGTCTTTCCTCCAAATGCTATATTTACCCAGAACAGCTGACTCAACAGACCTAGAGCGTTCAATAGCTTCATTTTCAAGTTTTACAATTGCTTCAGTATCCAGTTTTACCAATTCATCAGCACGCTTTTCCCGCCTTTTCTCTATTAATTGCTGCAGAAAAATTTTATAAACAAGATGAAACAAGTTTATTTCCATCTTTTTCCCAAAATAAATAATCACTCAAAATGATAACACATTTTGCAAATAGAACATTGCTGTGCATGTTTGGGAATTGGAAGAACAAGTTCTGTGTTTGGGAAGTTCGCCACAAGTAATTTACTAAGAATGAATTTATTTTAAATAGTGTTGGATAAAATTACTTTTTAGAGTAAACTTATTAAAAAGAGAATAAATATTTTAAATAATATTTATATCCTAAGAGAGGACAAAATTATAAAATCCCAACAGGTGTCAAAATGTATTCTGGACAATGATATTTCTAACTAAAGCCATTCAAGGTGGCAATATTACTTTTGCCTTTGTTATAAAAGGAAGACAAAAACGAGACAAAATGCATACCCACAGTGCAAACTAACACTAACCTAAGGTCCCTCCAAACAAGCTATATGTAAGTTTGAACAAGAAAATTATCAAACAACGATGCTCACCCTTAGGGATCGCTGTGAAGGACTTTCAGTCCAATGAGCACGACCATCTGCATTAATAAAAATAATTGAATTAGAAAGTAAATTAAGCTATACTATAGGCATTATATATGATTTAAAGTATGATACCACCTGAAGATCTGCCTTCCTTCACCTCTGGTTTTTCTTGTCTAACATGTGCTGTTGAGTTTAGCTTTAATAAAAAACAAAACATGGATTAACATTTAGCAGGAAAAAACAATAATAACTTTTTTTTTTTTTGAAATACAGGAATTGAAAGTTCCATGCAGAAGGACATCAGTATTCCAAACCTCATGTGTAGCATTTGAAGTCTCTAATCGAAAACCTCTCCACGAAGCGGACAAATTATTTTTTCTAAAATTGTCAAGACTCAAAGGCCCCATATCATTTGTGCCGGATGCAATAACATCAAGAACCTAAAGGATAATATTGATTAGAAAATCAAGAAATGCTCTTACATGAAAAAAAAAAAAAAAAACATGAAATATGGATCAAGAGCAAAACTTTATAAGCCTACACTTGCCTCTTTCGAAAAAAGTGATTTAAGGTCCTGCAATGCCTGCCATTCTCTCCATTTGGAAACCTGTAGCAGTCAACAACTTTATTTTAAGGCTAAAAAGAAACTTCTAGAAGCTCTATCCAGTACTTAATTATATAGCTAATAATTCATAAAATAGGCTACCTGTATACTTGGAACAGTTGAAATATCATTTTGATCTGCACAATGCATTTGAAGTAATTAGACTAACTTAAACTGATAAATATGTGCATCTAGAAAAATCAACAGAAATGTTAATAAGAACTTTTTTCTCTTTCTATTTATTTAGGTGAATTGGGATGAAGGAATGAGAAGATAAATGAAGGATATTTCTAATAATCCAATCAGGGACATTCTACCCCATTTTAATTCTCACAAAATTGATCCACCATAAAGCTATGTTCGGTTTTTGGTTTTCTTCCATTGACTGCCATAAATTGTTGAAAACACTAATGGGTGAGCAATTTTCTACATGAAGCGAACATTACTCAAGAATTATTGAACTCCTTTAACTCTACATATCATAATGTAAAATTTTACTGAATTTAGTCTGTACATCTTTCCAGCACTTTAATGCCAAAGTCTTTTTCCCTAACATCAGTTTCAGTGTACCATTTCATATTTATTTAGTGCACCTTGAAACTGTATTATCAAAACAGTAAAGAAACAAAGATTTAACGCAAGATATTGAGTGAGTTTAATGCATCAATAAGTTATGTAACTTGTAAGCATAAGCTCAAGGCACAAGCACAGGCATAAGCAAAGTGAAACAAATATCTTTGATATAAAATTATATATCAAATATTTATGAGAAATATTTATAGTGTGTAATAAGAGAATAGATCAAAGGTTATAATAACGAATCAAATTTTCATGGCAATTAGGAAGGATGCAATTATCATCGTTATCAGAAACAATGCTAGCTTAAATAACACAGCCATAGATTCCTCATCAACCTCTTCTTCTATTTATCCATACTAACAAAGTATTTATTCAATAGAACCTAAGGCTAATGTCCTCCCAATTGGGTTGTTCGCTGTTACTCCCATACTGAATCACTTTATTCCAACACTGTAGTCACGTTGCACTTCATCTGATTGCTAATCTCGCTAAGCCCCCTTGGATCTCTAAAGAAAGTGCAAATAAGAAACATTCACCATAAATTTCCACAAAATGATTTTTTTCTTGCTGCTGTTTCTTATCCCGAAAATGCTACTGGTTATAAAATCAAACAAAACAAAAGTAACCAGCACATAAGCCAAGCACGCACCTACCAACTTAAACCTTGCCCCACCCATCTTTGCAGTGTTCTCGTCAGAGGATCACTGGACCCTGCAATCTCATGAAGTGAACTTAATATAACAGCTATTGAAAAAAGTCCGGGCACCTCAATTTAGTGGGAAGGACATACACCTACAGTTTCATTTTACAATACACGCTACCATCCACTAGCGACTGAAAAGATTGCACAAGCATCACATAAATGGGTCACCACAGTCCCAAATGCCAAATCAACTAGATTATGAAATAGATAAGATCCTAAACATCAAAGGACTCCAAGATAAAGGAATTATGAAATAAAGGGGAAGGACAAGAACAAGATAAAACTTCAGAGAAACTTCCAACCAGAGTCAAAATAGTGACGTCAGTGACACTGCACAACTAGTCAAGTTCACTAATTCCAGAACTAGACCATTTTTCCATAACAAAACAACCACCCTTCCATCATTTAATTGCACACCATAGCAATGAATTGGAAACAAGTAACCCCAGTTACATTTTCATAAACTCCAATAATCATAAACAAGTAACCACCCTCCTAACTAGGGGAACACGCTTCCCAAATAAAACCCAATTAAACAAAAATAAATAAATAAATGATAACGAAAAACCATTCAGAAACACAAAATCAACCAATATTAAAACCCATTCGTCATTGCTGAGATCAGGAAAACAAATCAAGAAAAAAACAGAGAGAGAAACAAGTAGTGTGAACTGACCCGCAGCGTAAAGCCCCTTGCTGAGGAAGAAAACCATGGGCGCAAGAACGCATAGAAGAACGAAACACAGAACGGGGAACTGAGATACCTTGCTTCTGTTCTTGGCGAAAGAAGTCCCTCTCTTCGGCTCCATTGGTGTATCAGAGAAACGAAAAGAAACCTTCACAAAGATAGGGAGAATCGGAAGAAACTCCTAGAGTGAGAAAGCAGCATTTAGAGAGAGAAAGAGAGAAAGACTGGGATCTGAGCATGTGAGGGTTTTATGGCGCAATGCTAGTCGAAATCCATAATCAACAGAGTGAAGAAAGGACACTCTCTACGTGATTCTGTTATTCAAAGTTCAAAACCGACACACAAAACAGAATGTGAAAGCGAGAGAAAGAAAGATAGCAAATCAATGCGTTAATTCCGTGTGCGATAGCGAAAGGAAGGAAGAAAGTTAGAGAGACAGAAGATATAGCGAGCGAGCAAAGTTATGCTAACTTTCTCTCTCTTCTTATTGGGATTTTTTTTTTCTCTCTCTCTCTCTGTTTTCTCGCTCTTTCTATCGCTTTCCTTCGTATTTTCTTGGCAGTCAATCATGCGAGGCAAATTATTTCCGATAATCGAATCTTAGCTATGGTTGAAACGACGTCGTTTTTGTTGGCTGGTTAAAGAAATTAGGAAAAATCACTTCCAGAGTTCAATTTCTTCCGGGGAGGTAGTGGTTTAGTTCATGGAATATGATATCATACTTAATTTTTTTATGTTTATTTTAAAAAAAAAAAATCATTATATACAATCTCAGATAATCTTCACTCTTCTTTTTTTCATCTCACTGTTAGTTAAAATTATAATCTAACAATATTGAAAAAAGAAAAATTAGTAAGGGTTAGGTCACATCTCTTAACAATATTGAAAAATTAGTAAATGTTATATTAACAATTTTTTTTTTACAATTATATTTTAACACCGTTGATTTCCGTAAATCAACGGATATAAACGGTTATCTTAACACCGTTGATTGGCGGAAATCAACGGTATTAAGATATGGTTGTATGAAGTTGTAGAAAAAAAGGTTATAAGTATGGGGGAAGATTATAGTTACTACTTTTTTATCTTACTACTTGTTACTACCAAATTTTAACCATTGATTTTCGTCAATCTAACGGTTATAATTTATTGGGTCACATTTATTAATTAATTATTAATTTTAATAAATTATAACCGTTAGATTGACGGAAATCAACGGTTAAAATTTGATAGTAACAAGTAGTAAGATAAAAAGGTAATAACTATAATCTCTCCCAAAAGTATAACCACCCTCTAAACATAATATCATATCTCTTAACAAGCAACAAATTTTCAAAGTTCTTTACACGATATTTTAAATTAATAAAAATTAATATTTTACATAAATTTTGAGGTTAGGTCTTTACGTTATAATGCAAATTAAGTGCATCTCCCTCTCAAGAAAGGAGAAAACAATAATTAAGAATATTTATGTTTTAGGGGACTTTTGTTGACCTTCATAAAAAAAAAACATCTTTCTTGGCCTTTTAATTTTATATTTTGGAGTGGTTTACTAGGTTTTCTATGCATGACAAATTTTAACATTTTTTATTGGTATGTTCATTAAAATTAATGATCTGTAATGACTTTAAAATTATAAAAGGCTCCTCTTACGTAAACTTTAATTAAGGAAAAAAAAAAGACTTTTGCTAATATTTAATAGAAACCTCGCTTCTGATAATGCAATTCTTAACAACTAATTTAAACTAATGTTAATTGATGATCAAAACAATTCGAAAAGGCATGATTAATGTCTTAATCGGAATCGGATATCAATGACACGATATGCGAACAAACAACCACGAAAACAAAATACTGATCAGCTATAATGTCATATATATATATATATATATATATATATATCTTAGACAAAGAATTGGTGTATAAAAAAAAAAAAAAAATCCACACAGGGATTAGACTTAGGTGGCGTTTGGTTGAGGATAAATTTTTTGAAATGTAGGAAAATAGTAAGAAAGTGAGATATATAAGAAAATGTAAAAAAAAATTGTTTGGTGGAGAAAAATTTTACTGAAAAAATTAGGTAGACTTTAGGGTATGTATGTTTGGTTGGAGGTGAGATATAGATGGGAAAACAATGTTAAATTGCTAAAATAACCCTGATTTTAAAATTTAAAAAAAGAGCACAGCTGTCAAATTTGCTTATACACAAGGGTATATTGGTTACACAAAATTTACTTTACCCGTCGTTTTTCAAAAAACCACGTACTAATGAGCTTTCCAAAACAGTGGACAAAGCTTTCATGCATTTTGGATCACTAGTTTTTTATCTGAATCCATCTAACCAAATATGTCTTTTTTGGAATCCACACGCCACATGCCAAGGAAAATTGGGAAAAGGAGACTTGTCAAACACCATGTTAGGGTGTGTTTGGTTCGAAGATTTTGACGAGATAAATAGGAAAATGGAGAAGTGGGATTGTATATTCACCTTGTTTGGTTGAACCATTTCACAAATTTGTCTACCTAAATGATTGTGGTAGCTTTCCAATTTGCATGTCCTTTTGATCGAAATAGCTGGCTAAATAATCCCAGAGGTGGTATCTTCAGTTATCTACATAAGAGGTCACACTCTGCAATATTAAGAAGACGAGCGTACCCTTTCCAGCTGACATCTTCATCATCGGTATATTCATTGTCACTCTCACTGCAAAAGAATGGGCACAATTAACAAGAATATCAAGCAAAAATGAACACGATACTGGCAGCCAAGTAAACCAAAAACACATACTCATCCTCCTCCTCTTCCTCTTCATGACCTTCATCATCAGTATCCTCCTCCATGTTGTCGGTGAAGTTTGGATCATAACTTAGATATTCTAGAGTCAGATGAAGAATTTCCACACGGTAAAAAGAAATATCCCTTGGACACCTTAGGAAAAAGCTTTCTAGTGCCTGCAGTAAAAAATCAACAATATTGAGCAGATGCATAGTATATACACAAGGATATTGTAAATAAACAAATATAGCACCTGCAAGTTGTATTCACGAAGCTCTTCATCATTTTCTGAGGCACTAGTACAATAATTAATAAGCACTGGAACTGTATCTCCATGATGCGGGCCAAATCGGTAACCCACAGCACGACTGAGATCCCAATTATTTATGACTTGTTAGTAACAAGAAAATAATTTCTTTTTCATTAATTTACAAACAGACTTATTTTCGTAATAACAATTTTTTTTCCCATTCATATTTTCCTTAAAGCCAAACATAGACTTTACAAAAGTTACTTGGTTTCTCCGGTAAATTTTTTTCCAACTAAACAACTTTTTTTACATTTTGCCTAACTCACCTCTCAACCATTTATCAGGTAATGACAATATTTTACATAGGCATCGGAGGCACACTTACACGATATAGCCATATCACTAAATTTGATGATGGCATATCTTAACCATATTACCTAGTGATTCTGCCTAGTAGGATTATCATTTTATTATCTAAAATCTTCTAAATTCTTTAAAATAATTCATCCATTTCTAAATAAAAATAGAAATTTGGTTTCATTGAGGAAGCGTGACCTTAAATGACTTTACTGAAAAAATCTGACCTCAGTTGGCTTTATTGAGGAAGAGGAAACATGACCTTTTGCACATAGTATTTTTTTTCCAAATAATTCTTCTGATGATCTTTATTCAAATACTTCAAGGTTTAAATAGATAATACAAGTCAACAGAGTAACTACCCACTAACACTAGATAGAATCCACTAATTGTTAATGCCTAAAATTGAAATTCAAATAACAAAGCAAACAAAATAACTACCTACAACTCACTATTTAAAGAACCCAACAATTCATAAAATAATAAAAATAAAAAACTGTAACACCTATCCTCAAAAGACTGTCTTTTTAGTCAATTTATTTTTTATTAAAATTTTTATTTTATTAAGTCAACATAGGTTCCTCATTTGCCCGAACTAATCTAATCATTCATTCCTTAATTATGATCTCATTTCCCATACATCACCAAGCGAAAGAAAATTATGATAAAAAGCAGAAGTAAGGAAAATGTCCATATACCCCCTTGACTTATTAGTCAATAAGGATTTGTGTGGATTAAGGTAGGGGTGGATGGGCCAACATTGACATTCTATCTTTTAACACTTATGAATTGTAATGCACTTTGAAGTAAATACAGCATTATAATCATTGATTAAAATGTTTGATGACCAAAATTGTAATAAAATACACGCAAATGAATAACAAATTATAAATATTGATTTTCCAATGCCCAAGTTATAACTTTTCATTTACCCTTGTAGATTGAACCCCGACTTCTTATTTACCTCCTCCAACAACCTTGTCTTTGAAATACGACTCCTAAAGCTAGCTCCCAATTAAAATAGAGAATGCATTAAACTATTATCACCAAAAAAACAGTAAGACTAATTCTTTTTGAAAAGGGAGGCAATTTTCCTCTGACTTCTAAAAAATTCTAAAAATTTACTTTAACCAAGATTTGTAACCCTAAAAGCCAAAAACACTCAGCTGCCAATTGAACGACCGTTTTTGAGAGTCAAATCTTGCTAGATGTACAGTAAATACAACACCACTTTCCTCTTAGTAGATTTATCACCAGTTCACCACTGAATGATGACAACTAATTATTCTTGCAAAATAATTTTGCTTTCGGTCTATCTTAAAATTGTCCATTTAACATTATCCTTCCTTTTATCTTCAGGGAACAAAAATACAAGACAGTGATAATAGGCATTACTCATTAGGTGGTAATTCCTTTTCGTCCCCAGTTTTCTTTTTTGCCCCCTTTACCAGTAGTAGTAGAATGGGTCAACGGGCCTTTTGCCTGATCAAATTGTCAATCTATTTTTGAAACCAAAAGAAACTGGACCTTTTTCAGTTCATTTGACATTAACTACTCAACATTGCATCAATACAAGTCTTTTAATTCTGAAATAGACTAAGTGTTTCAAGGCCTTCACACGTAAGAAGCCCAAAACATAACAAAGAGATGCCATCCACAACAAACCTACAGTATAGCCACATCCAAGTAATCACCAATCTGGACATTCACGAACAAAGTCAGCAATGAAATTTGTGAAATAATCAAAAGCATAAAATGCAAGAAGAAGGAATTCTTTACCTCAAAACCAAGTTCAGCTAAAGCCTTGCCGTCATCTAATCTTCCATTTCCAAAAGATAATGTCTTACCCACCTTCATGAAGCAATCAAGTAGGAAAGACACAATATGAGGTTTGATTCAACATTAAAGTTATGACTCATAATAACGAAAGTCACTTATAAGAGGAACTCTTAAAGGGACGAATTGAATGGTCTTCGAGAAAATATGGAAATTTCTTTGCATTAAAGACTTTATAACAATAGTAAGTATTGGCTCCAAATTAGTATATATTTCCACAACGGTAACCTAAGGCAAAAGGCACCACGTCTTACTAAAGAAAGGCATTAAGATTTAAAAAATAAAACAGTAAAATATTTGACTCTTTTGCATAGTTATTCTGTTAACATTCTGACTATTTTACCCCTTTAGCATCACAGTTAGCAAGTTCGGTAGCTGGGCACCTGGGCCATTTAGAGATTTTTCCTTTTATCGATAAGGTGCTAAAGGCATGGATTGCCTGAAACAGAATGGTAATCCTAAGGTGCCAAGAGGCGCTAAACTGTTTTAGGGCTTCACCCTCAGCGCCTTTTGGATTGACTACACATGAACTAGGAATGATAAAGTTCACAAACTTTAGCAAAATGCGTAAAGAAAACCTAAAAAATAAATGTTAGTTTAGACAGCAAAAAGCAGAGACAGGTGTTTGTCGCAGGTTTTGTTCATTTTAAACATGTTTAAATCAGTTCTCAGACAAATGATTCTGCACATAAATTACAATTTACTTATGTTTTGTGTGATTTTTAAACTAAATAAACACAGCTCAGGAATTCAAGTTTTATATGTCCATGCTCCACATTAACACACAAATATGCATGATGCAGTTACTTTATAAGCTAACCAATTAGAACCATCTATCATTAGTGCACATAAAATCATGATTGCCAAGAACTCAGTCATAAAAGTCAAGTATATCATGTGAAAAAGTTAAGGATAAAAATGGCCGTAAAGTTAAACTAATAAGCAAGAGACACAGACAGAGAAGACTTACCTCTTGAACTTTGAAACGACCATTTTTATCAGGAAACACAAAAGCAAATGAGAGCTTTGCATTTCTCCTTCTTGCAGCCGGAGCTACTTCTTTGACCTATACAAAATATACAGTCAAAGTCAACGACAACCCAAGCATATTGGCATAAAAGAAAATTTCAAAAACAGTATTGCTTCATCAAGGAAATTACAGATAACAAAGAATATTAGTTTTCAAATCAAACAAGAGAGCATTAAAATGGACAAATAAATTGCCTTCACCATATCAGGCTTTGGCAAAAACAAAGTACACTAAATGCTAAACAAAGGGTGTGCATGACAACCATTCTGTTCCCTGGTACTGTTTCTGAAAAGAAACAGTTATTTTCTATTTCTGTGCCTTGGAACAGTTTCTGAGAAAAAAAATGTGTTTGATAACATGTTTTATTTTTATTCCGAGAATGAGAATTGTGTTTGATAACACAACAAATAATATAATAAAAAATAATTCTTATTAAGCATAAAAAAATTTCGGATCATCAATTTCCTTTCCATATGGTTGTGTGGTGGTGGCGGCCGCGGTGGTGGTGGCAGCGTGGTGATGGCATCGTGGTGGTGGTGGTGACAATGGCATGGTGGTAATGACGGTGGCAATGGGTGGAGGTCGTGGTGATGGTGGCGGTGACATCGTGGTGGTGGTGGAGGCGGCGAAGACGGTTGCGGTGGTCGAGTCAGGATGGTGGTGGTGGTGGTGATAATGGTAGTGGCAGAGAGTGATTGAGAGAAACAAGTGTTTCTCATTTTGTGTCCGAGAACAAAAAAACAGAAATTTTTCAATTCATTTTTTTTCCCCAGCACAAAAGTTAAACCGGTTCATTCCGGGAACAAAAAAATAAACCGGTTTTACCAAACGAGTTTTCTACCCATTTCTGTTCCCGGAAACAAAAATTAAAAAAAAACTCATTCTGGGAAGGAACTCATTCTGGGAAGGTTGCCATGCACACCTAAACTAACTCTAGAGTCTTAATGCTAGTTGAGACCATAGTAATCAATAGCGTGCTATAGCGCTTCAATAGCGTGTTACAACTCCTCGCCGCTACAGGCCACAATGCAACGCAAGGGTAGTGGTCGTAGTGGCCATTTTAGAATCCTTATTCGAAATGATAATATATTTAATTATGGTTTAGGGTTTATTTTTTAGGATTTATATGTGTAGTGTATCTATATAACAGGTTCATACATATTACTCCGCTATTGCACTACTGCTACCCGCTATCACGCTACAGTGTTGATAGCCCCGCTTTAGCGCGCTATAGCGGATTTGCGTTGCAGCGCAGTGGCTGGCCGCCACAGACCGCAACGCTACAGTCAGGCGAAGAGTAGCGGATGTAGCTGCCGCTATTGCGGCTGAATCGTGGCGCTATTTTGCCGCTACAGTAGTTTCTACAAAAATGTTCTCATCGTAGAAGGAAGATATTTACAACTTAGATACAAGTGAAAGCAAAGATGAAGATTTGGATGTTCATGATTTCAATTATGATTAGTTCCTTAAATTCTTTTATTTTGATATTTCACTTAAGTGGCAGTTTGAATTTTGACTAATTTTGCCACTTTATTTTGTTGTGTTACATTATTTGATATTTTAATTCATTCAATTTGTTTATGATTTGAATTTTAATGTTTGAAATCATTTATGTTTTAGTTTGAGATCCTTCAAATTTGTTTTTTATGTCACATTTTCATATTTTAAGTTTTATATTTGTGGAGTACAATTTAGTGTATTACTTAGATACACTTTGCACAGTAGCGTTGTAGCCCTATAGCAATTTGGAGGGTCAGCCGCTACGCGCCGCTATCCGAGATTAATAAGTATGGTTGAGACCAAGGATATCTAGCCACTTGGGAACAATGTGGCTTTCAGTAAACACCTTGAGAAATATCTCTCAAAGCCACTGGAACTATCAAAATTGTGAAATATATATATATATATATATATATATATATATATATATATATAAACCATTACCTTGAATCATAACTTCGAATCCTTTGTAACTCCGGATTCTTATAGCAGTTTTTCAACACATTTAACCAAACATTTTTCGAACCAACTAAGCAATTCATAGCAGCTTTTCCCACATTCTAACCAAACAATATTTCCAAGCATTGTGATTATTTCACACACACACACACACGAGTTGAAAAAGCCAGAGAATTCTCAAACGAGGCCTAACCTAACCACTCGATTAGTGTCACTCTTTCATATTCTCTCATACTACACCAATTAACTTAATTCCACGTTTAATCGATTACACAAAATCAGATTAGAGAGAGAGAGAGAGAGAGAGTAACATACAAGATCAGTTAACTCTCGAAGAGTAGCGTCCTTCCAGGTATAAATCTGAACCTCATCCTTAGGCTCCTTACCTCGGACGGCGAAGTCTTCCATAGTATGGTGACCTCCAATCTGAACAAAATACAAAAAATTGTGCTATGAATCGAGTTTTTCGAAAGTGAAAAATTAGAGAGTTTATTATTTAGGTTATAGGTCAAAATTGCAAGGCACGAAAAGAATGGAAGATGAGAAAAAGGAGTGAGTGAGTGAGAGAGGAATACCTTAGTGAAGACACGAAGCAATAGGGGGCAAGTCTTTTCGCGATCGACGGGGTCTTGAAGGAGGCGAGGCCGTGAGAGTGGTGGTGGTGGGCCTCTTGGAGGCCCAGGTAATCCTCTCCCACCTTGTCGCTTCCCTACCTCGCTCATTGCTTCTTCTCAGCTTCAAACACAAACAGAAAGAGGGTTCTTGATTCTTCTTCCTTTCAATTATCTCACCACACTATGAATGAATGAATAAATAAATCAATACGTTTCATCATTTGGGCCGGGCCGGGCCGGGCCTCCGTATAAGATTGGGCTTCCACTGTCCATCTCTGTTACTATCACTCTTTTATCACTCTCCATTTCTTCTGATGTGTCTTTCCCTTTAAAATCTAGTTAATGAACATTAAAATTTTTGTTGGGTCAAGTTTATTATCAAATTCTTTAATTTAGTACAAACTTAAAAATAAATAAATTGAGCGACATGTGTTAAATTTTTTATAATTATTATGACGTGCAATCAATTACATTTATTTTTTTATTTTTATAAAAACGGACTAAGTCATGATCTATTAAGAGTATAGCATAAAATTCATTTAATTGAGTTATCCTTTTATTTGAGCTTAGAAATCTATAATTTGATTAGTGTGGGTAATAATGTAGAAATCTATAATTTGATTAGTGTGGGTAATAATGTAGGCCTAACTCATAGACTCACGATGAGAAGGGGATTAGAGTTAATAAATTTGATTAGATCTCCTATGCATTCACGGTACATTGATAAATAATCACTCTACAACTTGCTTAACAATTGTGATCAGAGAGTGATGTGAACTGTAGAAAAGATCCTGATATTTCAAACCTTGTAGGAGTATTGGAGCAAACAAGATGATTTTCAAAAAATCAAGAATAATGTCTTTAATAAGTAAGCTTGAATCTTTGAGTGCTCTGACTTCGTATAATTATATTTTATAATTTCTTACAATACGATGTTAATAAAATAAACTATCATCATTACGATCAACGGCGAAATGCGTCATGCCAATACAAGCAAGCAAAACTTATCAAAGAGGAAATTTGAAATTAATAACCATTGGTACAACTGATAAAAAATTTGAGATATCGAGTTCAAGTCCAATTGGAAGAAAGATGGGGGAGAAAGATACGATATTGACTTTAAAATAAACAAGTTCTTGTAATATTTTTTTCCAGAACATGAGCAACCTTGACATGGCAACACACAAGTGATAAAATTACAGGGTAGAGCTCCGGGCTTGTATAAATTTAGTAACAGACCAAGAAACAAGTCCTGAGATTCCAGAACTCCGAAGGGGTCTACAGCCTCATCATAGTAAATCCTCTATAGAATCTGTTTCCTACCTAGGAATTTGTATTTATCAATACCCACAACTTTTTTTTTGCTCAGAAAAAAAAAAAAAAAAAGTCTAATCTGCATCAAGTGTTTCTGCACAAATGGTGTGCAAAAGTGATATCACATCTACGAATTATCTGTTTTGGTATCATACCACTAAAAATATCTCCTTTTGGATGGAATAAGATGCCAGAAAATCTGGGACACGTCCAATAAACATACCGTATATTGAGTGGCTGGTTGTGTCAAACCGGTTTACGACTGATCAAGAATTTATTGACCAATTAAAATTCTGGTAAGAGATATTAACAGGTCCACCATCACCTAAGAGATGAGTCAAAAGACCTGCTTTATTTGGATCCAAGTAATTAATTATCCACTTTAGTATGTCTTTCTCTTGTCCAAAATCTCCGCTGAACCTGCCAAAAGATATTTCATAAGAAGGGAGCTAGAAAAAGAATTCAGTCGGAACAAATGCTCAAGATAAGCTCCACTTGCTTACCACTTGAAAATCCGAGTGAGATGAACAGTTCTCTTCTCCAGGTCCACTTCAATTCCATCATTCTCAAAAAACTCTCTTGCAGCACCTCTTAATTCATCTACAACTCTTTGGGGTGAGAAGAACCTCACCTTTGGGCTGGACTTTGTACCATTACAAAGTCCAAAGTGAAATAACGGATTCAACTTGACAAGAGCAACCTGCAGTTTGTCACCAACTGGTTAATCTATATTCATAACCAATCATCATTGCTACCATAGAAGATAGAAATTTAATGTTAGGATAAAAAAATGAATGAAAAACATAAGAGTTCAGGCGAAAAATATAAATTATTTGTTTTTAAAATCCCATAATAAGCATAATGAATAACCCTGTTATACGCCCCTTAGAAAAACACATGAAAGGTTTAATTTTATATGGGGGCTGACTACATGTATGTTATATATCTCAAAGTTGAAGATTATGGTAATTGTCTCAATGATAGTATATGGCTGTCTATCCAAAATTGAAAATTGAAAAATCTATTTACCTCTAACCGCCTGTCCCCTGTACTAAAGGGCTTCACTAAGGAATATGGTGACCTTCGATTACATCTGAGGATACCATTTTTTATAGTAGCTAGAGAATACGGATGACCTCCAACTAAATACTGGAAATCAGAGAAGAAGGATCTCCTATCAATTACACCTTCTGGGCACCCTAAGCTAATTATAGCATGGATGACCATGGCATTATACAAATTTAAGAAGAAGGCAAGCTTCTCGTTTTCTGATAGTTCCAAGAGATTCATTCGCTGCAGATCCTGGGTCATATTTACGTACCTGCAGTTAGAAGTGAAACCGTAAGATAATAACTCTAGACAACAATAAGATATTAAGGAGAAAAACTCGGAAAACTAGATATGGTTTAGACTACAAGGGGGCCACCCTAAATGGTGGCAAACCGTGAACAATAGGCATTGCAGACTTATAGGTTTACAAATCCACAGAACATCTGCACCCACATTGTGCAATAAAATAAACAATATAACATAAGAACATTACATTGTTACCATACCTACGAAACTCTTCACTTTTGCTAATGGCCTCGTAATCAATATGTTGCCTATCATCAGAAGCATAAAACTCAAGTATGGCAAGCATAATCTTGGTAAGCCTTTCGCAAATTGCAGCTGCAGCCTTTGGATCATTATCGTTTGTGGCACCACGGAAATTAAAGCATCTGTGGATAAAGGGTTCATGCTCAAGGAAACGATATAAGTGACTTCCCTCCTCAAAATCATTTTCCCTACAGAAGAAAGTTGCCAATGCTAATAAGAAAATTACCAAAAGAATGTGACTCAGTGTAGTGCATCTAGTTTCATTAAGCTCAAAAACTCTTTTCTTACCCGAAAACATGACGGATGAAGTGCTTCCTGGATAACTGTTTTCCGATCTCAACGGCCTAAACATTTTTTGGGAATGCAAAAGATTTTAGTCTTCGGGGAAATTATAGTTACAGAACAAAAGTTGGGAAAACTGTTTGAAAGTGGAACATAAAAATATCATATTCAGAAGAAATCATGACTAGTTGACTACAGTGGCGTGCGTGCCAATCCTTAACCATGCAAATGCAATGTTGCTTTTTGAATAAGATATATCACGTTATGATTGTTTTTTCCCCCCACCTTATGTTATGATTAGTTTAGATCCACTACTCCCACATGAATTAGAAGCCATTTATTTATTAATTAAAAAAGTTCACTACGAATTTTAGCGAGTGATACAACCCAAGTGGCTGACGATCAAAATGCCGCGCGGAACGAGCCAAGCATAACATTATAAGAAACTAATAATTAATCTTTTGTTTTTTTTATTTTTGGTGTAAAAAAGTTTAAGTGAGATTAAATATCAATAATTCACTGGGATCAGGAATGACAACCCAATCTCTTTGAGGAGCTTGAACTCACGTTTTTGAGAGATATGAATCAAACTCTTAGACAACTGTGGCATTAATCTTTTGTTTTTATTACAAATAAAACTAATTAATATTTTATGATAAAATATCCCCTGACATATCAGAAAGTAGTAAAAAGAAAAAAAAAGTTGTAGAAAAATTCAAAATATGAAAATGGGGAGTTTCATTTTTCCACAGGGTTAGCAGAATAGCAGGTACCATTATGAATGAATTGGAAGCCAAACAATTTTCCAAGTGGGATTGGGCCCCTTTTTGTGTGACTAGGTCCACGCTATAAACTTCACAGGCTCTTGGGAACTTAGACTCTTGACCTTTATAACCCTACCACGGGCCCTGTTAATAGTAGCTAATCTACATACCATCTTACCAATTTTAGTGACAATCTTTAAATTTGAGTGAATTTTTTTTTTTTAATGAGTTTCATATAACATTATTAGATAATAAATAATATAAAATTTTGTTGCACTAATTATACATCAAAATTTTACAAATTAAGTAACGCAAGTCAATCCATCATACAATAAAATAATTATTTATATCATTTACCCAAATTTATGTAGGATTTTCGCACTTCACCCTGTCATGTTTGTCACCCTTAGTTTTGGACTCGCCTGTCACATTCATATTTCAATAAAAAATTATACATAGCCCTCATCATTTTGAAAACCAAATTATAACCTTCCAAAACACGAGCGCTGTTATGATCATGCGTCTCCATGTGTGTCATTATTACAGTTTGCTTCGTTGCCATACGCACAAGCAAGAAAAAAACAAAAAAACAAAAAAACAAGAAAACAAAAAAACAAAAAACCCCTATTCTTTTCTTTTAAACGAGTGAAAAGAAAATGCTCCACAATCACGTACTCCACTTCTTTCCTCGCTTATTATTTATTACTAATTTCAATTATTTTAAAGCTCCACCTTTTATGATAGAGATACCACAGATATTTTCATACTTTTAAAATTAATCAGATATTATTAGTCATTACCGTGTTTACATATTAGGCTGAATCCAATTTGAGGAAAACAAAGCCATTTAATCTAATTTATCAATTTTTATTATATTTTATTTTATGATCTAATCAATTAGGTATTATTTTATCACTAAACAAATGGTAAAATAATACGTAGGCATACGGTATACGAAGCGTACCTCGCTACGCGCGCAGTCGAGGTGGTGAATCAGAACCTCTATCAACTCATTCCCATCGAAGCAGTTATTAACAATCCTCATCCTCTTTAACCGGTCCTGAATGGGCAATCTCTGCCGTAGAACCCTAACGACCTCAACCATCTCGTCCGTCCGATCCTCCTCGACATAATCAAACCCGTACACCGGCGGCAGAGGCGCATCATCGCCGGGAAATTTCTCTGCCACCATCTCCACCACCATCCGCTCGAACTCGCCGCTATTCCGCAGCGAGTTCAGCGCCACCAACCCTCCGATCAATTTCTCGTTGAAGAAAATCTGCGGCACCGAAGTGCTTCCCGTCCTCTCTCGCAGCTCCCTCTCTCTCTCTTCAAACACGTCGACGTTGATCTCCACAAACTTGAGCCCTTTCTCCCTGAAAAACATCCGCACCGCCGTGCAGTCCCGGCAACCGGACCTCGAGAAGAAGCTGATCCGTCCTTTCATCGACGAATCCTCCTCCGGCGGTTTCTGCTCGACCACGACTTTAACGCCGGAGAGGTTGTACTCCGTCACTTCCGAATTCTTCTGCCTCAACGACTCGTCGTTTTCCTCCATGGACTGCCGTAACGACGAGACTCGCTTGAAGATCGCCGCTGATAGGTCGTTGCTCCGCTGCCGGATGAAGTTACCGATGGTCGGCATGGCGGTGAAGCTCGTCGGAACGTCGTCGTTTTTGGTGGAGTTGGAAATCCCCGGCGGCACCGGCATCGGGAGAAGTGAATGAGGCTTGACAACAATCCCTGCTCGTCCATCACCATCATCATCAATACCGTCGCCACCATCGTAACCACTTCGGTTGTTAGTAACGGCTTCATAGCCGTTAGCGCGTTTTTCGTGTTGTAGTTGGTTAGTGGGTTGATCCATTCGTGTTGGATTCTCATTTTCCGTGCCTTTAGCTTCGGAACCCATTTCGGCGAAACAGAAAGCTATTATGGAGAGAGAATCATATAACAAAAAGAGAAGAGCAATTGTTATAGTGAAGTAACTATAGAAGATTAAATCATAATGTAACAAGTTTTAAATTAAAAAAATTAAATTATTATTTAATAATATAAAAGGTTATTATTATTATTATTATTATTAGTCTATTTCAAAGAAAATATAACAGTGATCAAAATGTCACTGTTTACCAACTTTTTTACCTAAATGTCACGCGAATAGTGTTAATTCTCAATCTGCATGTCATCGTTCATCAATTTTTTTACCTAAATGTCACGCGAACAGTGTTATTTTTCAATCTGCCACGGAAGTAAGTTCGCTACCCGATATAGCGAACTCGATTTGCTGACGTGTCATGTTTCTAGTGGACACCAAGTTCGCTACACGGGGTAGCGAACTTCACACCTTTTTTTTTTTAACTTGGTACTTGTTATCCACTAGAAATGTGACATGTCAGCAAACCGAGTTCGCTACACCGAGTAGTGAACTTGTCTCCATGGCAGATTAGAAAATAACACTGTTCACACGACATTTAGATAAAAAAATTGATGAAAGAATAAAATTTTGGTCAGTATTATAAAGAAAAGCGTGTGGAAAAAAAGAGAGGATGAAAATTAAGCATTTCATGTCAGTGTGTGTAAGGATTAACGAGTCCATCGATTTCATTCGGACACGCAATGTAAATGAGTTGGAATGTGCAGAGAAAAAGTCTTCTTCTAAAGAGAGGGACAGAGGCAGCATATTGACGAAGATGCCCTTATGTATGCTTTCATGCCAATATATTTAAAAACACAGCATGTCAGAAGGGTATGTTTGTTGTTAGCATAAAAAAACTAAATCGAATGTGTTTGTGATTCTTAGAGATCAAGGAAAGTGTTGACTGGGTTTGTTTGTATGTATTTAGTGTTTGACAAGATCCAAGAGTCAAATGCAAGGTGGTTTCTCTCTACAACAAGTGGAGGGCTTACGTGGAATTAAGGTTTTGTTTCAATCTGAAGCCACATAGTCAGACACAAGGCGTGGCAATTGGCACAACCGAACCGTCTCAACCCCAACTCTATAATATTAATATATTACAATAAAATGATAATAACATTGTACGTTACTGAAAGATCACTAAATTGTTCATTAAATATAAAAATATTATTTTAAAAGGGGCTCGGGGTAAACCTCAAGATTCATGACTTTTGGCGTTAACTTCGTGGCATTTGACAGATTCCGGCGCACATGAATTATCAGGAATAATAAAGGCGAAATTGACTTGATTTTGGTTTTACCCAAGAATCTAGCATCTGATTGGAAAGTTACGCAGCCAATTTTTTGGGCCAAGATTAATCGAGGCATTTGAGCAGCGATTATTGTATTCCACATAAAAATATCCGTAATAGAAACATGTAAATATATTGTTGTATTTCGTGGAGCATTGGAGCACCATGAAGTAATTAATTCATGCCCTTTTCTTTGGATTTGTCATTTTTTTGTTTTAAATTAAAGATGTCCTTTGCAAGAATTTTGATCAATCCAAACTTCTAAATAATTCATGTCTAATGTCTTGATCAGTGGGAAAAGGTTGTGATGCTTTGCTATCCTTAACTGTAGAAGGCATTAAAATAACTGCATATCATGTAATTGTAGATCTTATATTCATAATTTTTTTTTTTACTGTAACACAAAAGAATGATTTTATATTTGAAAAAAGTTGTTCTTACAACCTTTTTTCCCTTATGACTTCTTATCACCACTTTTATGGTTAGATTAAAATCAAGACAATATCTCTTATTTGATGTCATTTTATAACAATTGATTTAATTTTAATCTAAAAACTATATCGGTTGTTGGCAACTAAGCCCCGACCCATTTAAAGTTTCAGGCTGCTTCTTTTTTTTTTTGGGGTTAAAAATTTATAAAAGTTTCAATTTACTTGACGAGCAAGGTGATACCTTCTCTCACTTTCATCACTGCTATTCTCATTTACTTCACAACCACTCAATTAATTGAAATACTCAAACAAGCGATACAACTTATCCTAGTCCAGGAAAATCACATCCCCAAAAAAAGCTTGCAGCAGTGAGAGCAACATCACAGTAAATTTAATTTAATGTAACGTAGTAGAAGTTTAAGTACAAAAGCCATGTTTCAGACTTTCACTTCCAAAGCCCATTTCTATACCCAACACTGTGGAACGTACGTAATGAACTGCCGAACCCACAGACTTTTTAGGGTAAAGTGGGCTCATAGGTATAGGGCTAAACTCATGAAACTTTCTGTTAGTGGAGAGATTCTTACAACATAAATGTTCTGATATGTGTATAATGTATGCTAGGTACACAACACCTAGGCTCATCAACCTGCTAAGTATTTTATAATTGAGTAAAGTTGGTTTTCCTCAAATTCTTATTAAATTTAAACGGATCTACCATCATAGTTAATTATGATTGATTGTGAATTTTATTTTTGGAGTTACCCAACCCTAATTATCTCTTTGAGACGAGTTGGCTCCCTCCAGTATCCCCACGAGCTTCGACTCTTTGAGCCAGCTATGGACTAATCCGGAGTGCGAGGGAACAGTGATGGCTAAAGGTTCAGCCCCCTCCCCAAGAATGCATTCAGCGGGAATCGAACACATATCTAACCCCACTAACTCAGCGCCAAGTTACCAACTGAGCTGCACCCATTGAGTATTGATTGTGAATCTGGGTATGTAAGTAAAATTATTGTCTCTCTATAAAAAGTATTCTAACATATCTTAATTATATCCCCAATATTTCAATTCTATAGTTCCACCCCCACCTATCTCCCAATAAATTCTAATATATTCTTGTGATAATGCTATGTGATAGTCGGTGGTGGACCAAGAAAAATTGTTTTATGTCCGCACATTTAGTGGTGGGGGGTTCGGGGCAAAGCCCCCGAATTTTTTTATAAAAAAAAATTTTAAATTAATGCTTGAACACGCTCATAATCTAGTTGCTTCCATAACAAAGGATGAAGAAATCATGGGAATGAGTACGTGACAGGGGAGAAATAATAAATTTTCTCTCTAATCAATTTGTGTTGTTACGTTATTTTAATCATCTGCGTACGTTGCTACGTTGCTACGTTGCTAACTAATATAAGAATAAATATCTTTTTTGATTCCTAACAAAAAAATTGATCCTCACTTTAGTCCATTATAAAAAAAAAAAAATAGTCACTTAGTCCCTATGAAATTTAAAGTGGATCCATTTTAGTCTTTTTGAGGGACTAATGTAGGTTTTTTTTGAATTTGTGAGTAACCACAATTTTAACTAAATTGATCCATTTTGAATTTCTTAGGGACCTCCTCGAGACTAATTTTTGGTAAGGGACTAAAGTGGGCACCATTTTTTTGTTAGGGACTTAAAAGGATATTTACTCCTAATATAAATATTGAACCAAGAGATAAATAAAGACCTACATAGCTACAAAAAGAAAAAACTAAGGACATGTTTGATTGTGTTTTGGTTTTTTTGTTTTTAAAACTGTTTTGTAGAATAATTATGAAAACAGTTGTTTTCTATGTTTTTTTTGTTTTGAAAGTTAAAAACAAAAACAGAAAACAAAAACAACTCAGACATATTCTCTAAATTTGATTCTAAAAACAAAAAAATAGTTACAGTTTTTAAAACTTTTTTAACAAAATAAGCCTTACCAAATAAATTTTTTTGTTTTTTCGTTCTGAAAACTAAAAAACTATTTTTAAAAACAGTAATCAAACAGAGCCTAAAATTCAAAATTTTATGTCCGCACTTGCGGACATATGTGCTCACCTGCGTCCGCCACTGGTGATAGTACATGACCCAAAAACAAGGGACAAAATTTTTTCGGTTAATGGCCAGCTTTAAAAAGATCTACATGCCATGGTTAATGGATGAAGCAGCTTTTGAAAGAAAGATATATGTCCACAACAAGCATCATGCATGAGTGGGAGAGGGTATAAGTAAACTTTTATTTTTGAGCTTTGCTTTAAGTAAGTAATCTTTTTTTTTTAGATACATGAGTAAGTAATCTTTTTAATCATAAAATGCTTTAGCTTATGATTGATTAATGATACGTTTTTATTTCAATATCACTTTTGTTATTATTTTTTTTTTTTTATAAACCACAAGTATTCTCCACAAGACACAATCTTGTTCGGGGCAGGTCCAAGATTAAGGTTTTAAACTCCTCTTAAAATTGGTATTGGGGAAGATTGAACATATGTTATCACCTTCACATGCTTAGCTCTCATGCACCAACTGATCTACCATCATTTGGTGATTAGTTCAAGTGGTACATGTTTGATTCAAATGGTCCAAATCGAACACTTTTGTTACTTAAGCATACACAACTTAAAGCTAACTTCCAATCATCAAAAGAGGTTGTTCAAGTGGTACATATGTTTGATTCCCCTTAACTAAGGTCTTGGGTTCAAGTTATTGTGAATGTAAAAAGTTTTCTTTGGGAGAGTTAGCCTCATCATAACGTGGATATTCTCGGCTTGAACAAAAATATCTCCCGTAAAAAATACATGTGATTTATAACAAAAAGTTAATTTCCAATCAAAATCAAACTAAGACAAAGGATAATTTGTATTTTGAAAAAAAAGCAAAAGTTAATTAAATTGGTATGGTTTATTTTAATATAAATAATAATAAAAGTACGAGAAGGTCACAATCAAGTTATCCAAATTCCAAATGCAAGGGGGGAAAAATGAATGGGTAACCCCACGCAGCACATGAGGTGCAGTGAGATGATAGTGGCCTCTTTTAAAGTCCAACGCTCGATGCTAGCGATAAGCTGCGGTGTCATGTCTCTCAACTAAGCTATTCCCACCTAATATCCACAACCACTCATGTTGCAAAGTAAGGGGGAAAAAAATCAAATGAAATGAAATGAATTAAATTTTTCAAGTAAGGGACAAACTACAATTCCAAAAAAACTGCGTACTCTTTGTTCCCTATTCACTGCAAGGAAACAAAGCCAGCACGCTCAGTGAGAGGTCTTGAAAGCTC